ATCTTATTATTGCAACACATCTCATTTTGGCAATTACTTTATATTTATTGATATTATTATTATATTGCCTCACTAAGCCGATAACTTAGCGTGTGAGTGTTTCACACGTAGGATCCGATAAAGTAGACGATCGAGGTTAAGCAGCTGGATAACATTACTCCTGCAACTATCAGATCAGAAGTAACTTAATCAGTAGGTCATTTTGTTATGAAAATGGATGTTGGCATGTAATTAAAGAGTTAAGTTGTGTATGCTCTGAATATTTTGGTAAACTTATATTACCATATGTATATTATTGTATTTTTTGTAATATAAGTTCAAGTATTTTACTATTATTTGTAATGAGTTGTGTTTTAAAAGTCAATGTAATATCTCTGACTCGTATCCGGGTTGAATACGGGTTGGGGGTGTTACATAGTGTGGCTAAAGTATCAGCCATCTGGTTTTCTTCTATCGGGAGATAACTAAAAGTAATCTCCTCAAATCTTTTTATCAAATCCATGACTAGATTATTGTACTCTAGCAATTTGGAATCTCTAGTCATCCATTCTCCGCAAAGTTGATAGATAACTAAGGCTAAATCTCTGAATACTTCTAGGATTTTGATTTTGCGTTCAATTGCAGCTCGGATCCCGATGATACAGGCTTCTTACTCAGCCATGTTGTTTGTACATTCAAAACTGAGATGACTGGTGAAAGAATGGTGATCTCCTTTGGGTGACACTAATACTGCCCCAATTCCATACTCGACAGCATTTGATGCACCATCAAAATTCATCTTCCATGTTTCATCTTTTGGAGCTTCCTCTTCTTCTATTGTATATATGGTCATTAAGTCATTGTTTGGGAATTCGAATTTTACTGGTTCATAGTCTTCTAGTGCCCTATTTGCCAAAACAATCTGCAATGACACTACTTTTCACAGCTTTCTGGCTCACATATACCAGGTCGAATTCTGCTAATAACATTTGCCATCTCGCCATCCTCCCATTCAAGATTGTTGATTTCATCATGTACTTCAAAGGATCCAATCTTGATATTAACCACGTGGTGTGGTACAATAAATATTGCCTTAGTTTTTTCGTAGTCCAAACCATGGCATAACACAGCTTCTCGATGTGAGAATACCGGGTCTCGCAGTCAGTGAACTTTTTACTTAAATAGTAAATGGATCGTTCTTTCTTTCCTTGTTCATCATGTTGTTCTAGAACACATCCCATTGAATTTCTAAAAATGATCAAGTACATAATTAATGGTCTATCAGGAACGGGCGGAACTAGGACCGGAGCATTGGATAAATAATGTTTGATTTTGTCAAAACCTTCCTGGCATTTATCGTCCCAGGTTCCTGGATTCTTTTTCTTCAACAAATGGAAGATTGGATCATATTTCTCCGTTAACTGAGATATGAACCTGGCGATATAATTTAACCTCCCTAAGAATCCTCGTACCTCCTTTAGTGTTTTAGGGGGCGGTAATTCTAGGATTGCCTTGACTTTATCGGGATCTATTTCTATCCCTTTCTCACTGACCACGAACCCGAGCAACTTCCCTGAAGTGACCCCAAATATGCACTTGGCTGGATTAAGTTTTAACTGATATTTCCTTAATCTCAAGAACAACTTCTTGAGAACTTGAACATGTTCTTCTTCAATTTGTGATTTGGCAATCATATCATCCAAATAGACTTTTATCTCTTTGTGCATCATATCGTGGAACAAAGTAACCATGGCTCGTTGATAGGTTACCCCTGCGTTCTTTAGCCCGAAAGACATCACTTTATAGCAAAATGTGCCTCACATGGTCACAAATGTGGTTTTTTCCATATCGTCCGGATTAATTTTGATTTGGTTATATCCTGAGAAGCCATCCATAAATGAGAAGAAAATGTGACTTGCACGATTAAGATCTCGGTAGTCAACACACATTCGGACCTTTCTATCCTTATTTGGAACCGGCATAATATTTGCTACCCATTCGTGGTATTTGGACACTTGTAGGAATCCATCATCAAATTGTTTCTTCACCTCATCTTTTATTTTTAGCAACATATCTGGTCTCATTCTCCGAAGCTTTTGCTGAATTGGCTTGCATTATGCCTTTATTGGAAGCTTGTGTACCACAATGTCATTATCCGAACCTGGCATGTCTTGATAAGACCATGAAAACACATCTTTGAATTCATTCAAGAGATGTATAAGATCCGATCTTATTTCTGCTGAGAATGAAGTACCAATCTTAACCTCCTTCTTATCATCCTCAGTCCCCAAATTTACTATCTTAGTCTTTTCTTGATGGGGTAAAATATGCTTACTTTCTTGCTCAATCAAGCTGACAAGTTCAGGATTTAACTTGCATTCCTCATCATCCTTATAACCCTCGGATTCCTCTAGACACATATCATTTTCAAAATCAACTCTTGGTTCAGAAACGTCATTATTCGTGCAATTAATATCTGGAGACCTGCAAAGGGAGATGAATACGTTTGGGCTAGAGACAATAATATTTTTTTCAATGACTAATGGCTATCATAAAGACAGAATACATGTTTTCCATGGAAAGAATGAAAGAAAATGAATCATTTTATTAAAATAAGGATTAAAGATAGTACACCCTAACAAAGGATCCCTATTACTTTCGGGCTAAAGTAACAAGGTTGTTATCATGTATTACTCTAAGATTTGTTTGAAAAATACAGGGAGCTCCTCAACAGTATAATTGTTCAGAACATATCCAGGAGGACATGGACGAATCAATGCCAGAGAGCACTCCCCACTAGTGTCATATAACGTTGATACTGAGATCTTTCATCAGGGTTTCAACTTCAGTAGCTCCTTCCTCAATCCATGGAACTTCCAGTGCCTTTATCACAAAACCCATATATGTGAATGTCTGAGTGATGAGTGGTATGATGATAGGTTCCCCGAAGGCATCTTGGCCATATGCTCTGGCCTTCTTTCTGTCCCTGAGCTTCTAGGCATATTTAACCCTGTCTTGATAGGTAGGTTTGTATCTTATCCCAAAAAATTTTCTCTTAGGTATGGGGCTCAATCTCTTGGTGACTCCTTGCAGCTCCTTCCTCAATCATTTCCCAACTATAGCTCCTCGGGCTAAAGTTTCCTTCAACTGCATCTTAGTATTCTTTGAAAGTTGGGGAGATGTAAATTTCTTTCCTTCAGGGACAAAGGTGGCATTGACGAACTCCAGGGATTGGAAGGACTACTCGAGTGCACTTTCGTTTACCTCTATATATGGCATATCAGTGGTGATAGAGGCTATGATTCCCTCTTCAGCTTTGATGGTTATAAAAGGCCCTTCAATGATAAATTTGATTTTCTGGTGCAGTGAAGAGGAAACCGCTCCAGCCATATGTATCCATGGTCTTCCAAGTAGGCAATTATAATTCGGGTGAATATCCATGACCACGAATTCTACCTCGAATGTTACAGGACCTACCCTCAAAGGGATTGTGATCTTTCCCATGATGCTCCTTTCTGTGCCATCAAATGCTCTAACAGTATTGCCACAAACTTTCATGTGTGAGGTATCTACTGGAATTCGATTCAAAGTTACCCAGGGCATGACATTCAATACTGATCCATTGTCTATTAAGACTCCAGATATGATAACCCCTTTACAGTGAACGATTATATGTAGTGCCTTACATCTACCCTTATCATCCTCGGGTATTTCATCATCATTAAAATAGATAAAATTGTCGGCATTGATGTTGCCCACCAACCTATCTAAGCGTTCTACTGGTATGTCCTTGGCTACGAAGGTCTCATTCAATACATTCAACAACGTATTTCGGTGTACCTCTGAGAACATAAGAAGATACAATTTTGAGATACGTGCAGGAGTGAGTTGTTCCACAATGTTATATTCACTGTGCTTCAAAAATTTTAGAAACTCTTGGGCCTCATCAATTTTAATAGGTTTATTAATCTTTTCTTCATTCTCATTGATTACAACAGCTCTAGCCTTTTCTGTTCGGCGAACATAACATCTGCCACTTTTAGTTAAACCTCCAACCTCATCAACTTCGCATTCCTTGTGCTTGGGAGTGGTAATTTGACATGTGTAACTCCATGGAACACTTCTGTTGTCTTTGTAGGAAAATGGTACTGGTGTTTTTATCACTACTTTCGGTACCGTTTCCCCTTGTTCACCTCGTAGCTTGGCTTAGATATAACCAAAACTGGCTTTTTCATCTTTGTGTGTCAATCTTTTTTGAATTGTCTTCGGAGGAATGAATGTCTCATTCATTCTTTGTCGATTCTTCTTCAAAGAATTGCATTTCCTTCTCATCCATCAGCTTCTGTATTATATTTTTGAATTCATGACAATCTTGGATCTGATGGCCATTATCACAATGGTCATCTGTTCATACACCCATTTTAACGGTGTCTTTACTTCTTCTTTACAAAGGGTTTCTTTAATGAGTTTTGGCCACCAACAATTTGGCCTTTCTTCAATGCCCTCTCAATCATTTCCCCACACATAACTATATCCGAGAAACTTTTCGTGGCTATCCCCAGCATATGATCAATATAAGGGGATTTTAGTGTATCAATGAACATGGTTATGAACTATCTTTCAACCAATGGGGGGTGGACCTGGGCAGCAATATCCCTCCAGCGTTGCGCATATTGGCGGAAGCTCTCGTTGTTTTTCATCTCCATATTTTTGAAGGGTAACCCTATTTGGCATCATGTCAGTAATATATTGATATTGCTCTTTGAAGGCAATTGCTAGATCTTTCCAAGACCTTATTTTAGCCTGGGTCAGTTGGTTGTACCATCTTGCGGTAGATCCTGTCAGACTTGCTTGAAAATAATGTATCAAGAGACTATCGTCTCTAACGAAGTCGGTCATCCTTCTACAGAACATTGTTATATGTGCACTAGGACATGTCTTTCCTTCATACTTCTCGAACTCATTCATCTCAAACTTAGGTGGTAAAACCAAGCCGGGTACCAAACTTAGCTCTACCGCGTCTATCTCTTCATGGGACCCTTGCCCACCCATCTCCTTAAAGAAATCCTTGCACCAATCTTTAGATGCTCAGGCACTTGATTCTTCATTTTCTCGATCTTATCAAGATCTGGTATATTATACTCGTTCGGGTTGTTCTGAGGGTTTGTGACAACCATTTGAATTTTAGCAGCAGATGAACCTGTTGGATGCCCAGTGAGCTTTTCAAATGAAATAACCAATCTAGAACTAGATTGTACTGGTGCATATTCAGAAGTCTCGGCTACTGCAGTATTTTGTTCTTTCCCTTCCATGCCGCTCTGCCCAGGTAATTTGGCCACGATGTCATTCACCATGTTAGATTGGCTTTGTATTATATGGTCAATGGCGAATTTTTGTGACTGCTTCATCTTAGCCTCCCAGTCTTGTTGCATCTTCAGGAGCTTTTCTTGAAGTTCTTTTTCTATTTTCTCGAGTTTAGCATCCATTTTCTTAGTCTTGTTTATGGTTTTATGCGAATGTGTGGCTTCGGACTGGTTTTTATCAGTTTTCAAGGTATTTTTCTTCAAAATAAATGTTCATAAATTAATATCTTTATGGTTGTTTTTTATGCACTTGAGATGTTTAGAAAATTAATATGCAAATGTAAAATTGCAAAATGCAAATGCAAAAGGTATCGATTTCCAAAAGTAACCATTCTTAGAAAAAGTTTCATTCTTCCAAAAGACTTTTCATCATTACAAGAGAGATCAATCTGCAAATATGGTTTGGCTATTTTACTTAGTTCCATGACCTCAGTCATGATCTCAACAACTTTCTCTCCATATTCGAAAGATAAACTGGTGCAAAGTAGGATGACTTCAGCTCTTTTGGCGAGCTCTTGTGTGTAGTGAGCCACCTCGCTCATTTGTGCTATTGCTTCACCCATCATGCACTCATGTTCCTCAACCAACATCTGGTGGTGCTCATACGTATCCTTCCACCCATCATTGATACGAGTGATTTTTCTTTCCAGGTTGGTGATGTGTACTCGAGAGCGCTGAAGCTCACTCTCTAGTCCTCTGACTTGTTCTCGCAAAAATTTATTCTCCTCACGAGAAAGCCTTAAGTCCATCGACCCGGGTGGTACTTGAACTTGAAGTAAGGACTCCTCAAGGTGCTTAACATGATCTTTAAGTTCACTATTCATATCCCGAGACTGATTTAATTCTCCTTCAAAACTGGTTTGTAGATCTTCTATTTCCTTGGTTAATTGTTCCACTCGCCTGTTCTTTATTTGGAATCTTTGCAAACCATGACCCAATTTCGGCCTACTTTCTTTCGAGAATTCGATTCCACCCCTGTCTCTCAGTCCATACTTCATCTTTTTTTTCTCTCTTGCTTTCTCTAATTCTTGGATCCTCTGATCTCTAGCCTCGAGTTCTTCCAGCATACTATTCATTTCAGTTTCCAAACCAAAAACTCGATGTTTTTCTGCTTCCCACTCCTTCAAGCTAGTTTCTTTCTCATCTTTCTATTTCTCAGCTCTACGACTTTCAATCTTAAGTTGCTTAGTCGCTTCTCTTTTTTCAGCTTTGTATTTGTCCCGTAATTTCTTGTCGGCTTCAATTCTCCTAAGTTGGTGTTTGTTCTTGGCCTCTAGACTTTGAACACGTCGCTTCTCAATTGCTAACTCTTTAGCCCACTGTTGTGATGTCTTGCTAGATCTATATATTTTCTTTACCTTTTGTAAGTTGCAACAATCTCTTTTCAGGCCAGCCAGTTCAAGATTAACTTTCTCTTTATCTTTCTTCAACAACTCACATTGTTTGGCATGGAGACCTCTATCAAGATCTAACATGAAATTCTCTTGTTTGACATCTTCCATTGCCTTGTCCCATTTATTATTTTCAGTTTCAAATTCAGCAATGAGAATCTATGCTTGTGAGGGTACCACCCTAATATGTTCTTCCCAAGGAATAACTTCTCCTTGATTTGGAAAATGGACATTTTCGTTTCTTCTTGCAAACCTCCAAGCCTAATAATTTGGAGTGTACATAACATCCTCGGCCACAACTTTTGTTCGAAAGGTTCTTTTCCAGGCAAGAGATAAATCACGTGCTCTCTTCTTGTAGTGGTCTCCATGGTATGTGATTTCAGACTTATTTAAACCACTCGTAACTGGGATAAATTGGCATGCCCTATACTGTCTGAGAACCATCACGGGGCATAGTTGACTCCTCCTCATAATCACAGCAACAAAACATGATCAAGATCTCCACATCTGAATAAAATGCTAGTATATCCTAGCCAATGAACACACCAAGCGATGTCTCAATCTTGTAGATTACTGAAAGTTGATATCCATCTTCTCCTTGGTAACCCCTCTGGACACTCCTTGCTAAGAAATTCTTTCAAAGGCGAATACATGGTGGAGAAACGATGATAAGATATTTTCTCTTCCTTCCAGAAGTGGCTAAGAATCCAGACAGTGAGTAGCTGGGCGCATCCTATAAATCGACCCCCTCCAGTCTACACAATTATTTAAGGATCGGAAGGTCTCTGCCAAAATAGCTGGTGCCGGATTTATGTCTTTCTCCAATCTGTCAAAGAAATCTGCAACAGCAGCCTCCGCATGAAACAAGGTATTCGGGAATATCACTAGACCATATACATCCAGAGCAAACGTGTTCAATCTCTTATCTTCATCCATGTGCTCGAGTATCACCTTCTTGAGACAATGCCACGTAAAATATTCACTTTCTCCTTTCTGTTGGATGTGCTCTACTATCAAATTTCTGCCTCTACTAGTAATCTTTACAAGTTTACTTTTAAAGGATTGGACTTTTGGAGGTCTAGAATAAATCCTATCCACCTGAAGGCTCTCAAAGTTAAATAGAGCTGTATACTCTTCTATTGTCGGCGTCAAATCTTGTCTGTTGAAAGTGAAACAGTTGTATGCATGGTTCCAGAATCGGACCAGAGCTTTAAGCAATGGTTCATCTATCTTTACATAGAGTTGATAGGATATGTCACTATATTTCTTGTGGAACTTCTCTTCGGTAGCTACTTTCCAACTCTCCCAAATCTCTATGCGTTCTTGTAGATTATTCTGCTTGAGAGTGACATTTACATCTGTGGACATATGTGATACATAATACCCAGGCAAACTGTCTCCTTTCGCCCTTTGTGTTTTTTCAAACCAAACTCGGACAGCCGGATTGAGTTCTTCCTTGTTATGAAAACTCTTTTCCATTTTAATGGTCGCTCTTCTACTATGATGATTACTTAGTTAATCAACACCTTTCTTTTATTTATGATGATCATGCAAAAAATGCCAAATAATAAACCATTAAACACAGAAAATATGCCAGTATAAAAGAATTCAAATATCAAGCAAATATTATTGAAAGGTAATTGCAACACCTACCCACATGCTCTTCTAGTTCACATGCTTTATTCAGAAAATAAAATATTATGAGTAAAGAAAGAAAGAAGGTTTAGCGTTGTTTCTCCTTTACGTATACTTATTTTGGGTACTTATTGATGGACAGAGGTTCTGAATGAATTTTATCGGGATGAGTTCGTAGAGCTCACTATATGCATGGTTTCGACACTATGAGAAAAATGTACTTGAATTGTCCCTGTTGGTGCCTCCTTAAGCTGCCAAACCCTCAATCTTGACCCATTACAGGCTCAAGCGGATCGAGTTCAATTCGAGAGGATACATTTCCTTATGTCCATACGGAGAAACAATTTATCTCACTTAAACATAAGGTATATGAACCCCAAAGGTTACTTGCTAAAACCCGTACGGAGAAACAAATTATCTCACGTAGGCTAAGCTTTTACCTAAACTTAAAAGGGACAAATCTCGTAAGTGAGCTTATGGTATATAAATGCACGTGTCGTTTGTGAGGAGAAACTCACAAACCTTTAACATATGACCAAAAAACAATTCTTTCACAAGTCCCAAAAAAACTGTTTAAATCTGAAAATCACTTAAAATCAAAAATCAATTAGTTAAAGATAAAAATAATGCATGTAATGTTGAAATTCAAAATAAATAAGGATCATAAATCAAATACAATTTAAGTTTGTAATTCCCAAAAATAAAATCAATGTATAATCGTTTATGGCTTGACTCTCTAAGCTTCCCCAGCGGAGTGGCCAAGTTGTCATAACGTTTCCCGCGAGAATCCGTTAGACTTTAAAAATTTAGTTTTGGGGGGAAAACGATGAAATTCGATTTTGAAAATAATTTGATTTTGGAGTCGCCACCAACCCTTAAGTTAGGTAGATTGGAAACCTTCAACGACAAAAATGGTCTGCGTTTTACCAAATATTCATTTTTAAGAGTTCGGGAGTCGGTTACGTGTGGGGAAGGGTGAGCACCTCCACAACACCCAAATTTTGGTACCTAAACGATTATATGTTGTTTAAATATTGGGAATTACAAACTTCGAAAATATATTTAAATCATGATCCTTTTATTTATTCTAATTTATTTAAGTATCAATTTCAAAAAACGACTTAAATAAGAAATACGGTGGATCAAAAGATTAAATAGCTCATAATATATTTTATAGAATAAAAATATCATAATTATTTTTATAAGAGAAAATGTGTCATTTTGTACGAACAATCCTTGAAAATGTGGTTCCTTTATAGTTAGGAGACTTTTCCATAGATTCTCCTCACAAAAGACCTTATTTCATATTTTTTTTAACTATAAAATATAAGTTAAGATATTTAAAAGTAAATACAGAAAAATTAAAAAAAACTAGAAAATGACTGAAATAAAATATTGAAAAATTAAAGGGCAGAAAAATAAAGTACTGAAAACTTACGAATGATGAAAAATAAATAAAGGAAATAAATCGCATTATATTTAAATGTTAGAGTATTAATAAGTCAGTGGCAAAAATCAAAAGAAAAGAAAGTAAAATGCCCAAATCAGAAATAAATAAAAAAGAAAATATAGCATATTTAGTGATATAATTAAAAATAACGAAACTAAAGTGTCAAAAACTAAATAAATAAATAAAGAGATCCGGGGACTAAAATGTGAGACACGGTAATGTATTAAGAATTTAACGTAATTTTACACAAATAATTTAGTGACCAGTTTATAAAAAGGCTTAAGTGTACAGGGGCCTAAGTGTGATTTTACGCACAAGTTTGGTGGCCAGAATGTAAAACATGGAAGAAATTTGAAGGGCCTCCACGCGATTTGTCCATATTTTCTCCTATATATTTATCTAATTTTAGGTAAAAAACCTAGCCATCTTTGTTTCTTCCTCTCTTTTTCCTCTCTACCTCTCTCGCATACTCCCTCTTCAACCTTTTTTCTTATTTTTTTTTATTTTTTAGAAAGCCATGAAATTTGTGTAGACAAGCAGAATCAAACTATAAACTACATTAGGTTTTCTAATTACATCTCAAGAATCTAACAAGATAAACCAAAAATAAGAAGAAGAAAAAACGAGAATACCTCTTTAATTTGCTTTAAAGATTTCAGTTCTATTTGTTGTGTTTTATTGCTGAAAAATCCGTTTCTTTTACATAGAATTCGATTGGGTTTTATACCCATTACAAAATCATATAAAATTTAGTGATGAAATGATCAAGTATGGGCTGCTGACAAGGCATGGAGGTGGCAGGGGATGGTGTGGAGCAACAGTGGCATGGGTGAGTAATGGGCAGCATGGGGCATGTTGACCGGTGAGTGGAGCATGGGCATGAGAAGCTGCACAGCTTTGGGAACAACAAGGTATGGGGGACAAAAATTGGTTATTACAGTAATATTACATTCCGTGAACCAAACGCACCCTTAATGGTATAAATAAATCGAGTTTGAATAAATAAAATTATACTTTTATTTATTTATTTATTTTTTTAAGTGTTCATATCCGATTCTATTCATTTAAATTTTTAATATCGTGTTTGTGTTCGTATATTTATTTTTTAAGATGTCCGTGTTCGTTCGTTTAATGCTCGTGGATATATTTGTTTGCCCTTCACGAACACGTTCCGCAACCAACACTCTAAAAAAACTAGTCACTTAAGATCATATATGGATCATACAATGATAATATCCTTAATATTATTAAGATAATTATGACTTGTTTTAATATATTTTATTCAATTTCACTATTCAAATAATGTTATAGCGTAGCCAACATAACATATAATCATGATTCATGTTAGACAATTTATCTAAGACTAATTCAAGAAGAGATCTTATATGTTTTGTGATTATAGGGCGAATTTTAATTAGTAACTCGTTAATACGAAAAATCAATTTATAGCAACCTTTCATTTTCCTATCTCTCAACGAGTTCATAACTAAAAAAATCATACAACAATTAATTTCGTTGATTTTATTGTAATTTTAACATCAAATTTAGTCTTCGTAGTAAAAAAAAAGTCATTAACAGAGTTTGTTTAAGTGGTACACAATTTGATACCGTTTAAGTAGATTTCGAGTTTGAGATTTTATGTATACATAAAATTCACTAAATTTGATTAAAATACGTTATATTAATAAATATTAAGTTTACTGATAAAATACGTTATATTTTTATGTGTGTATTACGTCAAAATGATTAAAATTCTATTTAATTTTAAAAAAACAAATTTTTTGATTCGACTTATTTTTTAAAAATTTGAGTCAAGTTATAAAATGAAATCGAATCACACTAAATTTTTAATAATTAATGGATTAATTTTTAAGTTTGATTCAAATATCTCAACTCTACATAGTATACATGAAATAAGATCAAATTACATAAAAACTTTTTTAGTTTTACTATTTATAATCATTGGATGAGTGAGAATAAACGGATGAGATTAATAGTAGAAATTAATAATATATTCACTAAAAAACCGTTAAGAGTTAATCTCAATAGTCTATTTTTACTTAGTCAACGGTCCTAAACATGTATAAAATTAAATAAATTTTATATTATGTAGATGGATCATAAATTCATAACCCTATATATATATATACCATATATGATTATAGAAAATTATTTATATTAGAATCAAATTGTATCATAATATTATAAATATTTATAATTAAAATTAAACAAAAAAGGAAAAACATCACTCGACTCGACTTAATTTTCTTTAAATAAAAATTAGATTATAAAATAAAAACTCATCGATTCGACTTATTCAAAATGTTTAAACTCAATTCTAACCCGGCTCAACCGAAAACTCAGGCAATGAGTTAAGATTGTAGAAAAAGAAAAGCGTAAAATAAAGAAGAGGGAAACGAGTGAATGAAAGAAAGTAGGTGAAGGAAGGAAGCGATGGGGTATAGGGAAGAGTGCACCCTGCGAGAAGGCAAACAGCCATTGACTTCGTTGTTACGTGCCGTTGAGGTTTGGGAGTGCATTTACCACTACTGCCATTCGCATTACTTTTATTCTTTCCACCCTTTTATATATAACCCCCAATCCATAGAATTAATAATGATTGAACCAGCATTTCCAGAAGAAAAAAAGTAGGTCAAGTTAAATTAGATTAAGACGAAGCTTTTGTTGCTTAAATTGTCACAAGCATGGTAATTTGGGTTTTCTTTGTTTTGGGTATTTTGAATTCAAACATTTGGTTAGTAGTTTTTGTGTCAAAACTTGGGAGGGTACCCACCTAACTCAGCACCCTCTCAATTACTCCATTTACTTGTTTGTTGGTTGAATTAGGAGAGACTTTCCAACCTCATGCTTTTGACTTTATAAATATATATATATACACATAAGATTAGTATCCACATACGCAATGTAAAAACTCTTTACAAATATATATACATAAAACACATTGTTGACTATGGATTGTGGAAGCTGAAATTATCTGTTGGAAGAATTGAGGGGAAAAGATTAGCAATGAAAATTCTTGGTTTATCAAGGTGACATCCAAGCTCAGTTTAGTGACTTTTAATTCAGTCATCAGATCTTCCTCTTCGTCATCAACGTCGAGTCCAGTTGGTGCCATTGGTTTGACAGCAACAATGAATTAAAGCTAGTTTGATTTAGAACCTGAACTTGAACCTAATTCAATACTACTAGATCGATCTATCCGTGTATCAAACAACCTGAACCTGCAATATATTAGCGTACAAACAAAGGGTTTGATTTAGAAATCAACATATTAATCGTTTCTGTGCAATGTTCACAGCAATCAAGCAGGCTCTAGTAAGATGGAGAATTTCATTTTATCATATATAAACAAGTCAGTCTTGGGAAACATAACTAGTAGAGCTGAATCTATTACATTTTAATTAATATTTGTTTGCAACTGTTATCAAAGTGTTGGGATGGCCGAGTTGGTCTAAGGCGCCAGATTAAGGTTCTGGTCCGAAAGGGCGTGGGTTTAAATCCACTTTCAACAGGTTTTTTCTTTTCTCCAATTTGGTGAAATTATTTTTTAGACCTCTTACTATACTTATCTTTAAGATTTATTCCTTGTACTTTTATTTAGTATAATTGTCTCCCTTTTACAATGTCATTAGTTAATTCAAGTAGTTAACAAAAAAATCATGTCAATATTTATGGATTTGGTCCTCTTATTATGCCCAAATTAGAGTTTAGTCTTTATAATTTAATTTAACGTAATTGTCTCCCTTTTACAATGCCATTATTTAATTGAAATAGTTAACAAAAATAATGTCAATATTTAAGGTTTTGATCCTCTTATTATACTTAAAATTCAAAATCTAATCATTATTGACATATCTGATTCCTCTACTTTGCATAACTGACTCCTCCAATTTTACACTGCTATTAGTTAATAAATTTCACACCAATATTTATGGTTTTGGTCCTCTCAGTATAATCAAATTTAAAATTTATGGTTTTGGTCCTCATAGTATAAACCCACAATCATTGTGTAAACCATCACCCCACTTGTTATTTGTTAACATTGATGCAATGAACGTGAATCATAGAATTGGTCGAAATGCTTAACCCGCAACAAACCCAAAATAGGTTGATGACGAGCCTGGAAGAGAAGCTTTTTAGGGACCTCATGGATCATTTGTCTTAGAACAATGTCTGTAGGTTTTATAAGAGCTTCTGACGAGCTTAAGTGCAAAGTCTTTCCGACCACCTTCCTCAGAAATGCTCGAAACCGAAACTATTCCCTTTCGAAACCGAAACTAATCCCTTTCTCCCAATTCTATTTATGATTCTAGAGGACGTTCATATCATTTTATAGGGCACTTCTTGGCCAATAAGGTCATCCTCAAACCTAGAGTAACTCTCCTTAAAGTAGTATATGAGCCACATGAATCCTTTGGAGATTATATTTTAAGGTCCAGTTGAGCCATTAATAACATATTTTAAGGATGTTATGGAAACATTAGTCAAACAAGACCACATCAATATTAGTCAAACTAAAACACATAATAAGGACAATTTTTTTATAATCATTAACACAATAAACTAATTACTTAAGATCATACGAGGACCATGTAATGAGAAAAATTAAAAACATAACCAAATAAACTCGGATAAAAGCTAAATACGAATAAATCTTATTGCATCGACAAACAAGCCACAAAAAGAGGTCAAACTATTGAAAGATCACTAATAAACTTCAAATCAGAATCAAATGACGTGAGAAAACTATCAACGAAATTAAATTTGTGTATTCAAATCCAATCCGAGGGTTCAAAGCATGGAAGATCAGTATGATAACAAATGAACACAATCTTCATCAGTTGTGGCAATATCAAATCCGACCCTGAAAGAAAAAATAAGTGAAACTAATTGACAAACTACCGAAAACTTAGCATGAAGACAAAGGAAAACGTGACATAAAGACATGTCATAATAAAATAAAAAGTAATGAATACCTACGGTCGATGATCAACACTAAAATTTATAGTGTCGTTAGTTATAAAGAAAAAAAAATTATCAACGACACAAAATGAAAAAAGAAAAAAACTAAAACCCCTGAACAATTCCAATTACCTTTTGACTATTTTTTCAAAATTAAATAAATATAAATATTGAAAGTATGAAATAATTTTATGTCGACCTTTGAATACAAAACTAGTAGGTTCATTATTGCTTGTAAGCCATCACGACACGAGACACCATCAAACTAATCCAAGAACCGAGGATATGGTTTCCACGTGCCTAACAATCTAGAAAACAAAAAGATAAAATACTTGAAAAGGTCCAAATCTTACTGGATCTTACTCTACAAGGTCCAACATGGTATTGCTGTATTGGTAGATAGGATCGACTTGAATTTTTTTATTTAAATATATCCTAATTTTATAATATAATTGATTTATGCCGTTTTAACTTTATATTAAAAAAAACTCTCCCGATATGACATGGTCACTTTAACATAGGTATAATCATTGATTTTTTTTAATTTAAATAATAATTTTTAAAATTTTATATTTTTTTATTAATAAACTATGAGATAAAGTTTATTTAAAGTGAGATTTTGTTGCACCCATTCTCTTTAAATTGATTATCTAATTTTGTCGATTAAAAAAGATTATCTAATTTTGATGTCGTTCTTTTTTTTGTTCTTTACTTAATTTTTTATTTAGACTTAAATAAATGTCCTTTTATTTTGATTTTTTTTATATACTTAAGGTGTTTCATTTTATTTGTTTTTATGACACAAATTTTTTTAACGAAAACTTGTTTCTTTGTAAAAATAAAATAATCAAACGTAGATCCTTTACCCCAAATTTTTGCTTCAAATTCTCTTTAACTTTAATTAATTTTTTTAATAATTGGTTTTAATAAGAATTTAATTTAAATATTTTTTTTTGTTTAAAATATAATAATTGTTTGATTTGACCTAACAATTAAACATTGGTTTTCCCCCCTTAAATCATGGTTTAAATATTAAAAATTGAATTTATTAAATTATTTGAAATTAAAATTAATTTATAATATATTATATATTAAGGATGAAAATAATATGGTGGTCAAAATAAGAGAAAGGTAATAGTATGATGATCGATGAGTGTAGTTTACCCATTTAATAGAAAGCTCAGTTTTGTTACAAGTAGGATAGATAAAAGGTGTGTAGTTCGCTGCGTGGGAATCCAAAACGTGGGGACTCTGGAGGAATAGAAAAAGAAGAGGGCCGCAGCAATACTTTCTCCGCCGTCTATATTTTTAAAAATGCCACCGTATCTTTACTCATTCACCATCTCCTTCGCCGCCGCTTAAATTTCTGAACCGCCGCGAACCCAACCCTATTTGCCTGAAGGAAATAAATATATTGACGAAAGGAAGAATGGATTCTTTGACCACTCTTTCTCCATGTAAGCCGTCGTCGTTTTTGTCCTCGTCTTCGTCTTCACTCTTCTCCCTTTGCTCTGTTGGCCTCAAAAGCGTCAGTTACAATGGGTCTCGCTCTCGTACTTGCGCTTCCAACAACTTCGTAGGCCAAATTTATTATTATATATAAACTTTGATTTCATTTTTGGCGTCTTTAAGATGCTGAAGTGAGTTTTAGTTTGCTTTAATTTTTTATTTTAGATGCTGGTTTTCCTTTTCTTATTATATAATTCGGCTTTCTTCTCTATTTGGAGTTGAATGTTTGATTTTTATTGGTGTTATTTTTATGTAATGTGCCGCACGTGTGGGTATTTGGTGCAATCGACAGTGCAACGTTTCTTATTTGAGAAAATCGTCACAGTAAACAAAAATGCCTTATAATATACGATTTTAATCAAATTTTTTTTGAATTTACCAAAATGACCAACAAAATCGCAATTCGAAATAAAAATTACAACTCGATCTCCAGAATCGCAAATCAGTTCCCAGAATCGCAACGCGATTATGAAGAATCACAATGCGATAGTACAAATTCGCATTGCGATTTTTCAGAATCGCAACGCGAATATGAAAATCACAACGCGAACATATAAATCGCAACGCGATTCTGATTATCGTAACGAGTATCCGTAAAATTGCAACGCGTATCCGTAAATCGCAACGACAATACGTAAAATCGCAACGCGTATCCGTAAATCGCAACGAGAATACATAAATCGCAACGAGAATACGTAAATCGCAACGAGAATACGTAAATCGCAACGCATATCTGTAAATCGCAACGAGAATACGTAAATCGCAATGCGTATCCGTAAATCGCAACGACAATACGTAAAATCGCAACGCGTATCCGTAAATCGCAACGCGATTTTTAAAGCGCCATTAGAATCGCTACGCGTATTTTATTTTCAAATTCCAAACACGAATATTAATTATCGGAACACTGAACCGTCCACAGTATATCCCGTAATCGCAACTCATAACCTAAAACTTAAAATCACAACTCAGTCTCATCTCCATCTCTCACTCTCTACGGCGAAATATGTCCCCATCTCCGAAGATTTCCGTCCCCATCCCTCACAACCATTCACGGTCAGAAATCCCTCACAATCATTCAGAAATAGAAAATCAACATCCGAGGGTTTGTTTTTTTAATTATTTTTATTTTGAAATTTTTGCATTATTTTAGGTTTTTCATATTGAAATTGATGATAAGTTTACTGGTAATTTCAATAATAGATTAACCATTTCACTTAGATTTCTTATTAAATTCATTCGATTGCTGCCAATACTGCTAAACTGTTTAGTCTTTAACCCTGTGAAGTTAGTATTTGTCTTTGTTTTGTCTTTTGGTTGAAGTAATGCAATCCATTAAAGTTTCAATTTGCAGAAGAAGAATAATTTCTAAACTTAAAATCGCAACATGAAAATGAAAATCGCAACACGAAAATGACTATCGCAACGAGAGAAATGAAAATCGCAACGAGAGAATCGCAACGCGAAATGAAAATCGCAACGAGATAATCGCAACGCGAAACCAAAATCGCATTGCGATTTTTATTTCGTGTTGCGATTCTTTCGTTGCAATAGTCATTTCCGCGTTGCGATAGTCATTCTCTCGTTGCGATTTTTATTTCAACCAAAAGACAAAACAGTGTTGCAAATTTTAGTTTCAAGAATAAACTACTACTCTTTATGTTTATTGTTTTTGATATATCTTCACAGTATAGTTTTTGGTATATCTAACTTGGTATGTTTATTATTTTTGTAGAAATTTGTTTCGGCTTCATTGACATTTAGGAATAAAGTTAGCCTAGCCACTACAATTGCTTCGAAGCTTTCACCTGCACAAATAAAATTGTTTGAGGAAACCTGCTTCTGGCCATGGCTGAGAGTACAACATCCGGGTGGAGATGCTAATTTGACCCATTTGTGGCTTCAGACCATGACTAGCGATCTACCCGACAGTATACAACGTGGTGAGGAAGAGATATGGTTTCATTTTCCACCGGCGTATACTTGTTTTGGGCGGAAGGAGTTATGCTTAATCACTGGTCTACGATTCGGACACGATGATGTAGGCCGGTACACTCGTCATATCACCCGCCCATCATGGTTATCCCGGGTTTTTTCCTGATGAGTCAATAGAGAAGCCGAACTTACACGTCAACGACCTGAAGAAATTGTTTAATAAGAAAGATGGTTTTACTCGGATGAATGGCGTCGATGTTGTCCGAGTATGCCTTATAGTACTTTTGTATGCCGGCTTTTTAGGCTGAGACGCCAGACAATCTATTCCTCAGGAGCTAATATTATTGGTAGAGGACCTAAATGCATGGAATCTGTTTCCGTGGGGTTCGTATATATGAAAAGCTACCTGGACTAAGTTGTCGTCTGCCTTTGATGACCGCAAAAGTTTGCGTGGCGATGGGTCGAAATACACTTTGTCAGGCTTTGTTTGGGCCTTTAAAGTAAGAATTTCTATATAATGTTTTCAAAATTATAATTAATTATTTAACAATTACTAATGTTTGTTATTATATTGTTTGTACATTTGGATATTCGAGGCTTTCCCCAGCATGCGGACATATGCATTAAAAACTTCAAATGATATTCCTAGGGCTATTTCCTGGAAGAAGAAACGTCTATTGGATTGGGAAGACTTAATACCATATGCGACAATAAATAATGTAAGTTAACACAAATACTATCATATATAAACAAGTTATTAATAGTAGACGTTTAACTTTGTTTGAGTTTTTATATTTTTAGGAGGCCAACACTCCATTACAGAGACTGACACCCACGGAGGATGAGCTTGCCACTGATTGGTGGCAAGCTAGTCAGCGTTTTTTTGATGGCACGAATGATGAGCAGCCTCCACTTCCTCCACTTCGAGAGCCATCACCTCACCCAAAGCCATCACCTGATCGACCCGACTATACACCTCTACAACGAGCGCCATCACCTATCCCGTCACATCATCGAGCCTTTTCTCCACCATCACCTCATGATAGGCGACCGGCAAAGATGCCACGACTTCTATCTCCCTGTTCTCCACCTCCACGGGATGAGTCAAGGGAGTTACGTGATGAGGTCAATGCCTTGCGTGAGGAGATCGGTACTCTACGCGATAATGATGGTGCATGGCGTGTGGAGGTGTCTACTTTACGTAGTGAGGTTGTCGCTCTACGTGAGATGGTAGTATCGCTGCAGAATGAGGTTCATACTCTACGCAACGAGGTAAGTTTAAGATTTTTCATATTTAACTTGATGATAAATTTACTCGTAATTTCACTTAGATTGCTTAGTAAATTTATTCGGTTGCTGCCAATACTGCTAAATTGTTTATTCTTTAACACTGTGAAGTTAGTATTTGTCTTTTGTTTTGTCTTTTGGTTGAAGTAAATTTATTCGGTTGCTGCCAATTCTGCTAAACTGTGTATTCTTTAACACTGTGAAGTTAGTATTTGTCTTTGTTTTGTCTTTTGGTTGAAAGTAAATTTGTTCGGTTGCTGCCAATTCTGCTAAACTGTGTATTCTTTAACACTGTGAAGTTAGTATTTGTCTTTGTTTTGTCTTTTGGTTGAAAGTAAATTTGTTCGGTTGCTGCCAATTCTGCTAAACTGTGTATTCTTTAATACTTTGAAGTTAGTATTTTTCTTTGTTTTGTCTTTTGGTTGAAGTAATGCAATCCATTCAAGTTTCAATTTACAGAAGAAGAAATAGTTTACTTTCGCTACACGAAACTTAAAATTGCAACGTGAAAAATGACTATCGCAATACAAAATGAATCGCAACGAGAAATGAAAATCGCAACGAGAGAATCGCAACGCGAAACCAAAATCGCAACGCGAAACTATAATCGCGTTGCGATTTTCATTTCACATTGCGATTCTCTCGTTGCGATAGTCAAATTCGTATTGCGATAGTCATTTTCGCATTGCGATAGTCATTTTCGCGTTGCGATTTTAAGTTTCAGATTCTATTCTTCTTCTGCAAATTGAAACTTGAAAGAATTTCATTACTTCAACCAAAAGACAAATACTAACTTCACAGTGTTAAAAATTTAAGTTTCAAGAATAAACTACTACTCTTTATGTTGTCATTGAACCTGCACTAAACCTATATGTTGTCCTTTTAAATGTTTATATAAGTGCTTACTTCTGGAATGTTATCTGATGCATTTTGTGAACAATGATATAATAATGAATTGGGTGAATACCGTGCAAGTTTGAAATATATTTGTCTTTGTTCTCACTGTTTAATATCATGTATGTTTATTTACTGATTTATGTATTAATTTATTTTTAGCGGTTCGCTAAGGTGGATGCTCTACATCGGGTTTTTCTTGCAAGACGGAGTTCACGCATCAGACGGCGTGCACGTGCCATTACGTCTCCGTTCACCCCAATAGTACGAAGAATCCGTAAGAAAAAGCCCGACTCACCTGTCATCGTTCAAGAGGCCTCCCCTATCGTTCAAGAGGCCCCTATCATCCCTCAAGAGTCCCCTCCCACCGTTCAAGAGGCCACTGTCATCGTTGAAGAGGTCTCTCCCAACATTCTAGAGCCCGATTCACACGGCGTAATATATCGAATTATTGAGAAGCCCCCTCACGTGCCGGACATGATGGATGACTGTTGGCTTTCGTAAAAGTTACCGGCCAGTACCATTCCGGCAGATGAAGTGGAGAGGGAACAACTACCAGAAATAATTCTGGATAATACCCTTTGGGCTAAGACCGCGGTTGATTTTTATCTACATGAGCGGAGCCAAGGGTGTTACGCTGACATATACAAACTCAACGATGATATGTATTTGTTGATTGAACGGTCTTGGTGGGGTGTATTATTAGGGGTTGAAGACAACGACTATTTCGATGGGGGGGGGTAAGTCTTATATTTCTTATATTTCAGTTTGATTAATTTTTTTTTAAAATTTATGTAATTCACTAATATATGTCTTTTTTTATAAAACAGCATATTGATGCATGGGTGACACGTCTTCTAATTGTAAGGAAATTAAAGAAAAATATTAAAAAAAACGTGATATACAATTATGCCGACGTCTTTTCACGTAGTTGACTTGAAGAATCAACGA